CAGCCACAGTAATAAAATTAACATTGTCTTCTAAGTTTTCCATATTAGAAATAATAATATTGCTATATCTCTGCCCATCTATGATTATCTGTGCAGAATAAATTTTCAGAACTGAAATTGAAACCCAAAGAAACAAAACTTCCAAGTCTTCAGGTCTGTATAACTGAACTGCATCGCAGAACTCTATTGATGTACAGTGCTGTCGTCAGTGTATGAGGGTGTCTGTTTTCTGGCTTTATGAGCGGGCGATATCATTAACACATGTTTTTCAATTTTGTAGGTAAAAATTAGTTTTTATTTTCGGGGACAAACTCTGACAAGGTACAGAGTTGGTCCCCCACCTTCCTGACCCAGCTAGATGCCTCTTTTATGTCTAGTTTCTGTGCAAGCACAAAAATGTGTCTCAGTTTCCCAGGGAACCCCGTTCTAGTACATTGCAGTGTGTTGCCCTGTTGTGGCAAGGGCCTGGACTTTCCCTCCTTCAGTGCAGCCTGTGTTTTAAAGATACAGATTTGTATCCTCTCTGCTAAAGCGTACCCACTACAATGAGGTCAGTCAGAACTTGACAGTGAAGGCATCCTCCCCAAATACGAGTTAGCACATAACTCCTAGGCACTCTAGGAAGTAAGGTGTACTGGTGAAAAAAAAGAAGGGCAATCTTTCTCGAAGACCCTCCACTTACTCCGTGCAGGTCATGGCTCATAGTGTGGTGTCACACACCGCCAACCCTGCCGCTGACAGCTGCATGTCACCAGGGTGATGCTCATCTCGCCTGCTCCTGGCCACGAGGCCGGGCGGCCTTAGAGTGACAGCCTGCCACTCACAGCGCCCATTGGCACGACGCACAGGGCAGATACTGGGCGGGAGCTATACATCCCTGGGGGTAATCATTCTGTTTATGGAGATTCCATTATGCACAGATTGATGACAACACTGATGTGTGTGTTTAATTTTTCGATCAAAGCCATGCAACATTCATTTAAAAACATTTACTGACTACTCACACTGATTTTCCAAGTTTTGTACAAAATGCCTTTCTGAAATACATTCCAAGCAATATTTTTCCCCCTAGGGGAATTCAGAACAACTTTTGAACCCTTCACTAAATTTTTCTTTGAAACTTAGATATAGTTTCTTTCAACTTAGATCTAGCCAAGTGCCTGTCCACTCAAGCAAGTAAGTAATAAATGGCTACGGAATAATGCTGAGCTAATGCAATTCTTTGTCAGCACAGCGGATGAAAGACTTAAAAATTTCCATGTGAACGTTTTGTCTTGGTTCGTGCTGATGAAACTGAGTTCGACACATTCTGTTTCATAAATAGGCTTGGGTCCGTTATGACCCGAACTTCACATACCTAAGGATCAAGTACACAGATTTTGGGGGTGAATAGGAGACTATGTTCTGTATTTTACACTCATGTGGAAAAACAAATACTACGTTAACAACTGGCAACTTACTTTCAGTTGCTCACACGTGCGGAGGGAGGCCTCCGGTGTCTGAAGAGGGGCCAGAGGCCTCTTTTCCACTGTGGGTGGGGGAGGGGCCACATGCCACACCCGGCCCCGCTGGGGGTGAGGCTGGGGGTGGTCCACATGGTGGCCCTGGACTCAGAGACCTACAGTGACCACAGGACACTCTGAAATGAAAACTTCCTGACAAAAGCAGCTCGCGCAGGGTGGTCAGGTCCCAAGCCTTTTGCTGCCTTGACAAAGGTCTGTGTTTTCATTGAATCAGCCCATCTATGGCCTCTGCACCTCCGAGATAGCAGACTGCTCAGGGGCTCCTCTCACTGGAGCAAGGACCACACGATCCCCCCCTTGTTTCCTTATTCCCGGCACACCACCCAGTCTGTGTGCTGTGAGTGTCAACTGTGACCTGTCCTGTACACACCTGGGTGAAAGAAGTGTGTGTCTATCCTTCTCACCTTTCATCCAGTCCTAGAGATGTCCCACTTCGCTTTCCTCCGCCTCCCTAATCTGCCACTGGTGGGTTTCACGTTAACCCCTTTACGTCACCTCCTTTGATTATAATGTATAAAATAGGCTGTACAGCTGCCATTCATAGGAGCATTTTCTCAAACCCTTGCTATTTTGCTTCTTGGCAAACTGTGGTCAGTTTGGCTCAGAAAAACTGGCAAAAGTTCTGTACAGGTTTAGATGTTCCTCACGTGGACGTTGCCTTCCCCATTGTCAGCCAGGGCAGCACTTTGGGCTGGGTGGGGTCTGAGGCAGGACTCCTCAATCTTTTTATTCCTTCTGAAGATGAGACCAGAGCTGGTCCCAGTGTGTCTTCAATCCAGCGAGAATCTGAGAAACTTACACACGCCACCTTTGTCTCTCTGTATAGCATGAGATTACAAGGAAAACAAATACCGGGTGAGGGGTGATATTTTCAAGTACACTTTTCACCTACTATCCTGCACAAATATTAAAGATACGTACAGAGCCACCACCACTTTCTTCCTGGGCAGCGCTCTGACTGACTTCTCCGTACACTGTTTTTGCTGGGAACAAAATGGAAGGGGGTAGGGAGCTGGTTAAAGGTTGGAAAGGTGACCTGTTCTGCGGAGCAATATTAAGGCCATTAATATGTCTGCATTTCACTTCTAGTGTGCAAATACATTATTCTGTCTATTACAATATCATGACGATGACCCGTAATTAAAGATGATTCACAGTCTGAGCCACAGGTAGATACAATTTCACACAACACATTTAGAGGGAATGTGCTTTTTAGCTACATGAAAACAGTATTTGCAAGCCACTGAAAAGACAGAGGAAAAAGGATATGATTACAAAAAAAAAACGCAAACCACTGCTGTATGGATTCAGATGTAAATCATCTGGATTGAAGGGACATAAAGCTGCACAGGAAATGCAGGTTTGTTCTTTGTTTTCTGATGACCTCTGTCCTTGATTTTCTCCGTGGTCACCGGGAGAAGCCAGGCCGGGCCGTTCTCATTTGTTCTTCTCCATGTTTTATTTCACATTTGCACCGACTTGAACAACAGTTACATTTGAAACTCCAGAAAGTAAAGATGAAACTTTGCTCTTGCTTTTGTGTTGAGCTGTACAATTTATTTCTCTCCTGGCAACAGATTTTAAATCTCTCTTCCTCCCCCTCTTTCTTTTCTTCCTTTTCATGGGAACTGTTTGGTGAGTGCCACAAAGCTCTGCGTGTGTGTGTGTTTCCCCTCTGCCTGGTTTCTGTGTTGGTGTGTGCAGGCACGCATTCATTAAAGTAATTCCTCCACCTCCAACAAGGGCGCATCATAAACCCGGGAGAAAAAGCCTCATAAATATTTAGATGCTCCTTCTACCTTCCAAACTGGAGTGAAAAAGCCTATTTAGTGAGGAGTTGCTCTGGGTTAATCTGCATGTGAATCAGGAAGGGGACAAAAGGATGAAAAGGTGCTGGAAACTCGAATACAAACCCTGTGGTCTCCAGGGGCCATTTATCTTGTTCTCCTCAATACCAGGGCAGGCTTGGCTTTTTTCTGCGCATGAGCAAACAGAGCGGCTTCCCGAAGACCGCTGGCAAAGCATGTGTATGCTTTGTCCTGGCTCACAAGTCTTTAAAGGAACAAAATTGCTTTACACTTTATATCTGGCTGACTTCTTCATTCTTGGTAGTTGCTGCTCTCCTTATGGACAGCATGTACAGTCAGTGTGATATGTGCCAATATACACGACAGGAAGTAGGAGCAAGATTTTTTTTATTGTGGCAAAAATATGCCCAAAACTGACCATTTGAACCATTTTTAAGTGCGCAGTTCAGTGGCGTTGACTTCACTCTCCAGGCTGTGTAACCCTCACCGCTCTCTGTCTCCAGAACTTTCTCATCATCCTAAACAGAAGCTCTGTCCACATGAAACAATAACCCCTGGCCCTCCCACCCCCAGCACGCACTGGAGTTTGTTAAAGCTCCAATTCCTGAAGGCTCTCCTTGGAGTCAGAACTGCTGGCACTTGATTTTGGAGGGTCTGGGCAGGGGCGGGGGAGTTTGCAGAGCAAGGCCCAGTAACCAAGGGCAAAGATAAATAAAATGAGTTTCGGTCAGAATAGTCTGTTCTCCTGAGAGGGGTCTCGCTGAGCAAAGGAACATGAAGCCTGGAAATGGGCGTGGGAAAACCACCTGTGTGTCAAACGGCCGGCCTGGTTTTCACCAGAACAAAAGAAAACGGTAAAAAGTTTAGCAGCATTTTAACACTGTCCATTTTCATAAGAAATTGGTTTAAGTAAGAATTTTAAAATAGAATTCTAAGATCAAGGCCTTGTAATCCTGGCATTATTTGAGACAAAACAAGTGGATATTATACAGACATTTCCACCAAATGGTGGTGGGGGGGGGGTGTTCTGTACTTGACCAGAAGACTGAAGTCTGGGAGGATAACCTGAATAACTGCAAAAATTAATGTCTACCATCACCTCCCATTTTGCAGGCCCCTGGGGCTGCAGACTATGTTGCTTTAGGTGAAAAAACATGCCGAAGAATTATTGTTGATCAAGTCCTACTCCAGAACAGCATGAGATGGAGGGAACTTGGAATCCCCATCCCCGAGTTCATGTTCCTTTAAGAAATCTTTAAGTTCAGCGTGTTGGGACAGTGGAAGCTCTCCTCTTACCCTTTTAGTTTTTCTGGCTGGTCGAATAATTTAAGCAACATACAGCTGATTAACAGGAGAAAATCAGATTATAATACATGCGCATGGGGAATTCGCACAAGCATGAAAATTCCAAGGACTGTGGGGCAGTGTTGGGTCCATGTGACATTTTGGACAAAGGAGAAAAGGGCGGGGGAGTGAGAGTGGGCGACTCACGGGTAGCGGAGAGAGAGCGCGCGCACACACAGGGTGGGTGGAGCCCTGCTGGGCCCCTTGGAACCCTGGGACCCGGGGTGTCCAGCCCAGATGCTTGAAGGCTTCCTGGCCGATGCCGCAGGGGACCATGCCCCAAGCTTCTCTTCCTGAAGCAGCTCTTTCTACGGAAGCTCTTTAAGGAGAAGGGGAAGTAAAAACTCTTCCTCCATTTGTTGGGCTTTAATTGGCTTCAGTTTGAAATAATCTGCCTGTTGGGTGGCATGTTCAAGGGACACTCATTTCCAACCTCCACAAGTGCAACTAAAAAAATTGTGGGTAGTCCTACCTGGTTTGTTTTGATGGGGTCTTCACAGCACAGCCAGCCAGGCTCCCCGAGTGAGCGTTATCAGCCGAGACCACATGTGAGTGACCGATACTGTTCTTCATCCGTGGAAGTCACATCTGTCACTGTCACTGTTTATTTAAGGGATTTTAATATTTTATATAAAGTGAAGTGGGATTATCAAGACGGCTTTCAGGGCAAGTGCTGGGGGAGGAGAGCCTGTGCGGAGCCAGAGGCCCGAGGGACGGGGGAGGGGGGACAGGTTGGAGAACTGGCGACTCACAGTTCCAAATAAAGGTAAAACCAGCTGTAATCAGCACAGCCAAAAAGGAGGGTCCCTGACCCAGGAAACTGGGAAAGAGGAACCAGACAGGAGCCAACTCGGGAGCTCAGATGATGTCGGGGAGGTCCTTCCTCTGTGTGGAAGGTCCCCTCTAGCAGCAATTGGCACCATGGCCACTGTGTCCTTACGACATCCTCATTTCCTGACACCACGGCCCTCCGGTCCAAAGAGAGGTCCTGTGGTGCTGGAGGGTCGGCAGGAACAGGAGCAGGAGCAGGAGCGAGGATGGAGGATCCTGCCCAGGCCCAGCAAGGTAGCATCTGGGCAGGCCCAGGCCCGTGCTGGGGCCTGCAGGTGGGGCAGAGGTGGAAGGCCACACCAAAGCCACACTAGACCTCACATGAAACAGGGGAGGTTTTATGGAAAGGAGGACGAGGAAGGGGAATAAGCTGGATAGACAACTGTCTCACCAACAGTCCACTGCAATACTGGCCCTTCCTTGAGCTCGTGTATGTGGGTCATGTGGGTCAGGACGGCCAGGCAGCTAGCCGATGCATACCAGTGTGAGGACGATGAGTGCGTGTCTCTTAGTTAAGTGGAAGGAGAGGTGAAGGGGTCTGCGGGCAGTCCTTCTGGGACCACAACCTCAGCAAGTCTCGGTCCTGTGGGCCCCAATGGTACAGACTCTGTTGGGGGGCAGGGGAGGCCACTCTGGGCCAGGCCTAGGCCCTACTGAGGGGGGCCCATCACTGCAGTTCCTATCCTGCTGATGAGAATTCAGTCACGTGGTCACACCTAACTTTAAGAGAGGTAGGAGATTAAGATAAGCTGTGTGCCCAGGAAGAAGAGGAAGTACATTCTGGTGAACCGCTATCAAGCTTTGCCTTGTCAGTCACCAGAATTCTGCAAATGGGTTGAGAACTAGAAGCACCTGCAGTGGCAAGCTAATGACAGTCACTGAGTCTCTCAGCTGACATAGTGCTCGCATCAACCTGTCAGGTGGGACAATTATCCTCATAGGAAGACCAAGAAACAGAGGCCCAGGGAGGTTACTTAACTTGCCCAAAGTTGCAAAACTAGAAATCGTTGGAGCCAGGATTTGATACAAGACAACATGACCACACAGGGCTGTCGGGGACCCTAAGAGAGATGAAGTCTGCAAAGGCCTAGGTTGTGTCCAGCCCACGGGAAGCCATCAGCGGGCATCGTGTGAGCGACACGCCTCAGCAGAGCAGAGCCCGGAGGCTGGGGGTGGGTGGGGGTCCACAGAGACAACGCCCTCCGGCAGGCTCTTCCCTGCTGGGTCCAAGGGCCCGCAGTGGAGCCCAGATCTGCTTGCTACATGAGAGCAATTGCTGAACCGGCCCAATTCACGCTGGGCAGGCCCAGCCATGACCGCCAGACACACGGGTTACCTTCCTCCCTTCCCCGTGTTTGTCCTCAGGTCGGGGTGGGGGGTGGTCAGCTGCTCCTTGCTCCACACTCTTCAAGGGCTGAACGCACAATTCCATTGCTTTGTCATTTTTGGTTGACTTGCCTTGACAATTACTCCCTTTGTATTGCCTGTGCCCCACCTCATGCATGACACAGAGAGTCCACCAAAAAGTGGTCAGGGGGTGTTAATAATAGTAATAGCTAATGCTTCGTGGGCCATTGCTAGACGAGTATTCCAGGCCTGTTAAGGGCTTTACAACCATTGATTTGGTTCATCTGCGCAGTACACCGCCAAGTGGGTATTGGTGTCCCCACCGTGCAGCAGAGAAAACTGAGGATTGCTGAGATCAGTTGTCCGCCCAGCGTCACAGCAGCGCCAGGGCTTCTCATCATCGTTGTGTCACCTGGCTGGGCTGGCTTTAATTCAGTGACACGGAGACCCACAGCCTGGATGTGGAGAGCAGCAACTGCCTGGTGAGTGCTAATGGCCGGGTGGGGATGTGTTGGGTGCAGGAGGAGGGGCAGTCAGATCCCTGCGTGCTCAACCAGGCTGCTCCATTAGGGGCCATGGTAGCAAGTTGAAGGTCAGAACGAGTAGCCTAAAACCCAAGGGAGAAGCCTGGAAGGGGAAGGAGAAGGGATTCCTCTGTCAGAGGGTCAGAGTTTGGGCCTGGACCCCTCTCCAAGAGCGAGGGCAGCATGCCCCAGGGACAGAGAAGGTGCCCAGGGACCTGTAACTCCAGAAAGTTCAGCAAGAGTAGTTGGGGACTATCTCAGCAGCTGACTGGTCTCCACAGGAATATCAAGGAGGGGACCCTGCTGGGTTTCTCCGCGCTTCTTCACCAGCCTTGTCATTTCCCCAATGTCCTTCATTTTTAAAACGTTGGCCTTTCCCTAACTAAAACCCTCTGGCCTTGTTCTGACTTCTGCTTGTTTTGGAGGGATGAGGGGTGTGGAGAAGCCGCGTTCTCCCGTGGCGGGCCTCAGACACACAGTGGGAGGGGCTGGAAAGGAGAAGTGGGCAGAGAGGGGCTGGGGCTGGCAAGGCTGGGTGCAGCGGGTGGAGGGGGTGGGGCCGTTTTTGGACACTTCTAGAATTTAACTCTCAGGCCCAAGAAGGATGTGTGTGAGACAGAATTTTATGCCAGCAATCGGGGGAAGCCAGTATACACACTTACCTCTTTCGTACAATCACAGATTAAATTAATTTAGGAAGGAATGACTACAAGCTTGGCAAATACCCTTTGCAAGAATCTGGGCATCAGAGACACTTGACAGCTAAAATCACTCAAGGCTTGCCATCTCGGAGGGTGAGCAACGGCTCCCGAACTAGTTGGTGGAAACTGCTGGAAAGCTGCTGGCTGCTGTGCGGATGAGGCCCAGATAGAACAAGCTGTGAGGTTTCAGGGGCATCGGGACTTCCTCCCCAGATCTGATGCCTCCTTTGGACTCTTAAAGAGGAAAAAGAGATAGTGAGTGTTTTTAGTTTTGTGAAGTTGACCAACTCATTTGATTCGATTCTAACAAAAAAGGGAATGGCAGGTCCTGGGGCTCTTTTATTTTTTTCTTCTCTGAAATGCTTTCTAATATTTTCCTGTGGTTAACATTTTACAGAAACCAGGATCTTTGCTTCAACAATGCAGATCTTATCTTGCAAACAATCTCAAACAGGGCACGGAACCTTAAAGCCTTCTAGGGCCGGAACTCGAACCCGGGGGTGTGCAGGGTGAACGAAGCCATGGAGACACAACGGGGCAGGCATACAGATGAGCTAAACCCTAAGCTGGCTGGCAAAGGGAGGGATTTTTCTGTTTAGGGCCTTCAAAACAAAGCTGCTCTTAGGCTCACTTCCCATAGCAAATGTATCCTTTGGGAATGTTTTCCCTGCTTCCTTTTCTTCCTCACACAATTCCCCTTCACTTCCTTTAGAGAGCGGCGTCATTAATGATCGCCATACAAAGTTGAGATGACTGGATGCAGTGCCAATGAAGGGTTCGCAAATGAGAAATCTCACGTCAAGTATTTTTTATAAAGCCATGTTAAAGCGCCAGCCAAGTTTCCAGCCAGAAAGTGCAATGATGTACATTAGGAGCGAGGTTATGGATGCACACATTATGTTATTTGGATGCACACATTGTGTGTATGGATGCACACATTGCGGTGTCGACACGCACACATTATGTTATTTATGAATAAAAAGTGCTATCACATCATGCCGGCAAGTCGCAAGATTAAAACAACTCCAGGCGCCTCTGCGACTGTGGAGAGAGGCTGTTGGGCTGCTAGGAAATGACCCTTGACCATGAAGACAGAGAAAATGGGAAAAGGCAGAGGCAGAGAGGAGAGCGACTGAACTTGAGACTGACTGGGGGAGGGGAAGCACCGAAAGGGAGCACCAGGCCCTGAGCTCAGACTGGTGTCATTCCCATGGCAGCTCAATGGCATGAGCAAGATTTTGCCTTGGGAAAAAAATCTGGCATAAAAATGGGTGACTCACGTTTGGGTTTTTGTTTTGTTTTGTTTTTTGCTGCGATCTATAACATTACCCTCAGTGCATGGCTGTTGTGTACATGTTATAATAAAGCCATTTCTAGAAAAGCAGATATTGAGAAGAAAATGTTCATTGAAATTTCCTTGGTCAGGAATTCAGATTGAATCACCCCCCAGGTACCCAGTGATAAGAAGAGAGGCCTTCTTTGCAATGAGGAAACACGTGATGCAGACACGAGTCTCCTTAAACATCGCTGTGTGAGAGGGTGTGGGATTCCCCGGGAAGCCAGAAACATAATTGCAAAATGGTTTATTGCAAAGGTTCTTTTTTCCTTTCAGCTACCTTGGTTTCCCTGTGTGTTCCTGCCTTCCTTTTGAAGCCTTGAAAGCCAGGCAGAGGAAGTTTTGGCTCTGGGGGCACATTTTTGGAGGCTGTAGGTGTGGCCTGGCACTGGGTGCTGGTGGCAGGTGCTGGGTAACAGACATCGGGGGGCTCAGAGATGTAGTTTGGCTGAAGATCTAGGCCTTCTGGGAGCTCACCCGGAGCAATCAGCCTGCTTCAGGGACGGCCCAGGAACCCAGGGCTGTCACCGTCCTCTCTGCTTCATGTGTGACTCATGGAACCGACCTGCAGAGGCCACGTGGGAGAGTGAGTGCAACTGTTTCCTCACAGACAGCTTTCTGGTGTTAAATTCCTCAAAGCATGACATGTTTTTCCCCATGGAATCTGATTTTTTTAAACGGTGGGGAGGTGAGGGCTCACTGGTTTGCTTACCAAATGTCTGTGGCCATGTAGACAGCATAGTTTTGCAGAGCAGGCTCACGCACCTGCCCTTGCCGGGCACTGCAGGAAGCCCTTGACGGGGCCTAATGCAGCCCCAGGTGCTGGCCCCTCCCACTTTACCCCCTGCGTCAGCACACTGGGACACGACAGTGGACTGGACCCAGGTGTCCCGGGAGCTCCTGCATGTCCACGGGGGCAGGTGCCTCCCTGGTCCTGGCCCTTCTGGAAGATGTGATCTCCCCAGGACCCTTCATTAACTGCCAGCTCGGGGGCTACAGGGCAGGAGTGGGGGGGGAGAGGCAACGTCTCCTTAGCCACACCTGCCCCCCAGCTCCAGAGCTGTTTCTGGCAGCTAAGCACTGGGTCCCAAAGCGCATGGGGGGTCCGGGCCCGAAGTAGATGTACCATCGCTGCCGCCAACCAGACAGTGAGCCCGGGGCCCAGGCTCCTCTTCCTCGAGTTGTTTGTCCTTTACTTCCCAGTGTCAGCAGTCCTGGGAACAGGAAATGGTTTGCGCAGTAGGAAGCGGAGGAAACTGATGACTGGCTACTTTTCAGCCTTGTGGATACATTTTCAATTTAAGATATTTATACCCAGTCTAAAAGTCGGGCGCATTGGTAAAAATGAGCTGTCTCCAAGCCTTACTCTAGTGTTTAAAACAGTCCTGTGAGCTGAAAGCTCACTGTGTGCCAGAGATTTTGCGGGGCCCTTCCTGTTACTTACCCACACTGCCCTGGGAACATCCCTAGGTGGTGTTACCCCTTTTACAGGTGAGAAGAGAGAGGAATAGGTAGTTAAATGGCACGACCAAGGTATGAACCCAGGACGTCTGAGGCTGCTGCTCCAGACCCCTGTGCCCAGCTGCCTCCTCCCGGGACCAGCCAGCTCTTGTGAAGGTGTTTGGACTCTGTCACTGCTGGGGTTCAAAGACAGTCCATCTGCATCCCCCGTGATGACAGCATTTCTGTGGCGTGGCAGGCACAGTTATGCAGGGGGGCCAAGAGATCATCACCTCACAGTGCAGGAGGAAGTGGTCCCCGGACACCAGCTGTCCAGGCCTCCTCCCCCCCCAGGCTCGGTGCTCAGCAGCCTGATACCAAGTCAGCTGCCTGCTGCTGTCCTCACTCAGTGTGTGTTCTCTACACAGGGACCTGGCTGGAGCCGTCTGATTAAGGGAAAGTGTGCCATCACGAAATCAGGCGCTGGACCGGCGGAGATGTCGAAACCTGGTCAGCTGAGGGAGAGGAGAAAGTCAAGTCTGGCTGTAGGTCTCCAGGGGCCAAGGAAGCTGGCGCGGAGAAGGGCCTGCTGCCTCCGCCCACGAGTACTGGGCAGCTGGAGAGGGAGCTAGCATGTCCGCTGATGGGACAGTTTATAGGCCTGCCTTTGAACTCTGTGACCCCCAAGCCTTCTCTTCCTTCATTTCACAACTTAACACTTGAGTGTTTCTGACTTCCTCCTCATGGTCTTGCTGCTCCTTGACCGAGACGGGATCTCGGCACAGGGAGGGCCCCTCCTGTTGTCTGTTCCAGCTGGGGCTTGCGATTGCCCACCACGCCCTAAGTCCAGCCTGCCCTATGCACAGAACTGTTAAAGGAACAGTGCTCCTCCCACCCATTTCAGAACTTACAAACCAAAGGTGTTGCTCATTTTACTGCTACATCTTCTTTGCAACTAGAAAACTGATGCTTACTACCAGCGAATACTGAGGAGAACTCGAGTGTAATTACTGCCAGTTAATCAAGCTGGCGGCCCTCAGAGATCTTTGGAACGTCACCCATCCTTCCAGATGGGCTCGGGCAGAAGAACCAGGAACCGGGACACTCTGGCCTCCCCGGTGCGGCCCGCAGAGTCCAGCGCAGTCACAGGACGGCTCCCGGGCCGGGAGAGGGCGGAACCAAGGGCTGACTTGGCAGGAAGCAAAGAGTCCCCCGCAAGGAGGGTGATTAACCGTGTGTCAGCTCTGGCAACAACCTGCTCCTAAAAACTTCATTCGGGGCAAAACAGAAAGTAAAACCAGAGACTCTGGCATTTCATTGTAAACTGGGTGGGTATGACTTGCAGCAAATCTTCTTTCTGAGTTTGGCTAGATGCCCAAAGAACCTGTGTGTATTTTAGAGAGAAGAAAACTCATTTCAGTTGCAATTAGAAAAAATAGTCAACTTCAGTTTAATAGACATGAAGATATGAAGTAAACAACTTCCTAAACATGTAAATAAGCTGGCAGCAACAGAGGCAACATTCAAACTGTTTTTCCAGTTGGCAGGGCAGGAATGCGCTCGGGGCCGAGGGTCGGGGTCTGGAGGGTGGAGGGAAGGGCTGGGCCGGGCAGCTAAGCGCGGTCACTGCTCTGAGTGACGTGGAAATGCTTCGGAATTGCACATGGATAAAGCTGTGCTGGTGTGTCCTGGCTGAATGTCAGCGCTGCGAGAGCAATCATGTTTCATCTTAAATCCAAATACGGAATAACGTGATTCTGATAAAACACCATTGCTGCGCAAGCCCCTTCGATGTTAAAACAAGAGCCGCTCCCTTTCAGACCCGGCGGGGGCTCAGCAGACCACAGACGCTCGGCCCGGCCCCAGGGGGCACATCTGACATCCTAGGCCACTTCTCAGGAGCCACGGAATCATACTGCGCAAGCGGCCCCACAGCGCAACCGCTGAGGCCCCTCCTCCTGCTCGTCTCCCTGGGTCAGGAGCGAGGATTTCCAGGGGCTACCATTCATTCGGATCGGCCTTCTGGGCTGAGAGCGGCTCACGCAGCTCGCCCTTCCCCGAGCCCAAGTATGTCTGTGTGCTTTTTTCCTTTCTTTTTTTCAAACAAGTAATTATTGAAAGTAGACCTCTTGTAAAGCATTTTTAAAATAAGAGCTGACAATTCTACAGTCCAGGGATTTTCCTGTTCTCCTGGGCGTGGGTTTCTCCACTGGGAGCTCTGGATGCGATTTAGTGCTCTGCTTTTTATTAAGTTGCAATATGTTTCAAAAAAAGGATTTGGTTTAATCCTTTGGAAATTATAAAAATGTAACATTTTCAGTCAAATGCATTGTCCAAGAGAAATAAAAATCCATAAATAATTTTTTTTTATTTCAATGAGGATTGCAAAATTGAACACTGGCGATTTTAGAATACATTTCTTATTGCCATTACGTGACCACACATATGTATACACAAGGTTATCCTAAGCACGGAAATTAAATTACTACAATGTCAACTTGCTGATATGGACGAGCACATCTTATTCAGAATCACAGAACTCAGAAAGACTTCCAAGATTACCAGGTTCAAATCTCAGAGACACTGAGTGATTCACTCCAAGTTACACAGCTCATTAGGATAGGCTAATATGGCCTTTTTATACCCAGCACAGTAACCTCTTTCTATGTGACACCAGCAGTATTTCAATGAGCAAACAGAGCTTTCTGCTCAAAAAGATTCAACACCCTTATTGGTTAGAACACTGAAAAAAGGATTCTAAACAGTATTTTCGTCACTCAAAGTCGCAGTTCTTGGGGTCCACGGGGTTAAATGACAGAAAGGGCCAGCATCGTGCTGTAAACCACTCAGGGTTTAGAAGGTCTGGCTTGACTCTTGTCCCCACCATTCACTAGCTGTGTCACAGGAGGCACATCACTTGGTTAGCCCTCTGAGCCCGGCTTCTTGTCTGTAAATGGGGATGACAGTGAACTTGGCGTGGCAGGACACTCCGTCAGCTCACACCTGAGGAGCCCTCTTTCCGTCTCCCTGGTCCCCCTTGGAGCTCTGTCTAGAAAGCAAGACTACACAGAACTTACTGGGAAAATGCAACATTAAGGTGTCAGTTGAATTTTAGTAAAGAGTAGTGGCATTTGATTAAAGGTCTAGGACACAAATAGATACTTCCCTTGCTCCTAAAATGTTTTCTGACCTTAGTTATTTAAAACTAACACAAAAACTATTAACATTTTTAATATGTTAAAAAAGCAAATCACAGAGTAATCCTGAAGGAAAAACACAACAAATCAACCCGACCAAGGAAAACACTATGAAAATTGTTCTGCAATCATAAAACTGTGAATCGGCCCGAAAGTTGATCAAAATAAAATGTATTTTTAATTCTCTCATGTTCCTGTATCTAACAGACAATTATTTTCAAGTCAAAGTTTCTGTTTAAATGTGGAATGAGGATTGGATTACATGGCACAAGGGCCTGCCTCTTGGCTGAGAAGCTTTTTACCTCTAAAGTTTCCTTTGGGGTCAAATGAGTAGAAACCTGACCCGGCCAGTTAATATCTAACTGCTGTGCAGTGGTTGAAGCTAAACGTTAGCGTTGCATCTGCAAACGTGTCCGTGGTTTGGAAAGGCACCCGATCGGTATGACAGTGGAGAGCAGTGCCTCTCATGACCAATGTTCTGTTTGCCCCATCAGATATAAACGTGCCTCACCGAACAGAATCCATGTTACTATTTTATTAATTTCCTTGTGTTAAAAAAAAAACAAAACCCTATGTCTCTTCTCTGTGCACACTTCAGCTTGACATTGGAGAACGACCAAAATCTGGCACCTACTAGTCGTGCAGGAAACTCCCACCCGAAAGCCTGGCACTCGGCCTCGGCTACGTGTGTCCACCCCCCCGCCCCGCCCCCACTGCACTCAAGCTACTTCTTCCAGGCCCAGGGCCCCAAGCAGCCTGCGTGGCTCTGGCCTGGAAGGCAGTGCTCCTTTCCACGCAGACAGCGTTTTGTCTTTGGCATTCACTGTCACTGGTTAACTCTCCATGTGTGTGCCACATTGACACCTGGCTTAGCCCCAGAGTGTCTCAGGGTTAATGACAGGGACTGTATTTGTCAATGAAGATGTTCACACTTAAAATGTATCATTTCAACCTTTTAAACAGACTCGATCAGCCACCCCACAATTTAAAAGAAGTCTTGACAAATCTATTAACACAATAAACCAAGATTTAGTTTACAAAGAAATTGGGAATGACTATTCCCTTTTAGAAATATTCAAGGATTAAGATTTTTAGAAAGAACAGTTGGAACAAAAAGCTATCAAACATTGATTCTTAAGTCCAAGGCACATTTTTGTTCTTGCAAGAACTTCATGGTGATGTGAAAGAATGCTTGGAATACCACAACTTTAAAATTTTAAATGTAGAGAATAGCAATAATCAAATAAAATCAAATTTAAGACAATTTGTGGTTAATTACTGATATTAGCTATGGAACCATTTTTAGGGTCAGCACATTAGAACATTTTCATGGGAAAAGTTACATGGATCTTCAATGGGAAGCTCACCCACACATACTGTGTGCACACGGCAACCTGCCAAGGTCATGTGTCATATTTGGACTAATGTCATTTGTCTTCCCACATTAATTTTTAAGCTTCTCGAAGACAAGAGATGTACCCCAGGAACTTCTGCATTCTCGCTGCACTTACAGGCAGGGTGGTGAGCGGTGTACTGTGGGCCTGCAATGCCCCAGGTGCAGTGTGGCAGAGAAAAGGCAGGGAATCGCAGGTGGTGCACTCATGCCCACCTGGAATGTCTACTGTGCAAATTAAATGAAGTCATGTAGGTAAGGATTTTGTACAGTTCCTAGTGCATAACAAGTGCTTACTGCCCTTTTTGAACGTATTTTTAATGAGCACCCACACACACCACGTGCTGTTCTAGGAGCTGGGAATTTCAAACAGAACAAAATAAAAGTCCTCACTCTCATGGGGCTTACGGGGAGGGGGATGTGACAAACTCATGCATAGATCCCGTGTCAGGAGGAAGTAAATGCTGTGGGAAGAGTTAAAAGGAGGGCCAGCAGACAATAACAAGGGTGCCCCTGTACATTTCTACACTGCTTCAGCTCTGGTGGCAGAACCCCTGGAGGCAGGCTGGAGGGTGTGCAGGGCAAGCGCTGCAGAGAGAGGAAACTCCAAGTGCAAAGCCCAACCAACCAGGGGTTTTGTGCTCCCCCTTATCCTTAGAGATTTTTAGTAGAAAGACCTGCTTGAGGAAGGGAAGCTTGGGGCATACTCCCCTTAAACACAGTCAGCCCACATTAGCCAGGAAGCCTCCAAGCATCTGTACTAGACACCCCATGTCCCACTGCTTGGCCTGTTTAAGGATGGGGGAGGGGATTCCAGGGCCTACAGACCACTGTGAAAGGGGAAGAGAGGTGGACAGGAGGTCAGCAAGGCAGCAGGGGTCAGAGCATGTGGGGCTACAGGCCTTGGTAAGGCCTTCTGGTTTTGTTTTGTTTTTTTAAATTGAAAACGGGTAACAAAAGAACTGTGAGCAGAGGTGATGTGCTAAGTGTGTATTTGAAAAGGTAATGCATAGTAACTCTTAGCAAATGCTGCAACCATAAGGGATTTAATACAACGGAAATGATTACTGCCTCACATGGTTCTTTAAATCTGACCTGGTTGGCTTAGCTGGGTGAGCTATGATGTTCCAGTTCCCATGGGTCAAAAAATGGTCAAACAGTCAAAAGGTTTGATGTGACTTACTGGCTAGGGCTGGTAGATGGGTAAAGAACAAGGGCTTTGCATAAAGTGTAAGTGGATTTGAATCCCAGATCCAGTGCTCATGAGCTGTAGTTTTGGGCCAGTAACTCAACCTTCTTTTCCTTGGGTTTCCTGTGGTATAAAATGGGGATACAGCACAACCTAAGCCAGAAAGCTGAAGATTAAATGAGATATATGTAAAGCATTTATATATGTAACTCCTTTAAAAACAGCACTTGGAGGATTAATACAGAAGTGAACCAATTAAAAAGGGGGATTGAATCTTTTACACTCGCATATCAAATAAGTAATTTACTACCTAAACCCTTTGAAACTAACCATTTTGCTAAATACTGAAAAAGCATACCTTACTTTTAGTGTTTAGACAGATTTTTTTGTGAAATAATTATTCCTTATATTTATACAATTCATCCTTTAAATAGGTAATCAGTACACGAATATTTTATGGCTCTTAACAGTGATGAATATTGGATAACTTAAAATTTGGGGGTTAAATGTTTTTAACTTTGCCTGCCAAGGCAATTCCATTTCCTCTATCAAAGTAGCTTAATTTTGAAAACGAACTCACTCTGCGTTCTTCAAATGAACAGGCTAGAAATTACTTGCTACTCTCAAAGAGTATTTGTTTGAAACTTAGTATCTTCAATGCGATTCAGTCTTAAAAAGTGTTGCTAGGAATTTGTTGGAGCAAATTCAGTTAACAGTCGACAAGATTAAGAAAAATCTCAGGCACGAGTAACTCTCACAATGGTCAGTGATAGTAAATAATTTTATCTCATTAATTGTACACGTCATAAAGGGCTTGCAATAAAATGCAGATTTAGTGATTGGTAACATTCCAAAGACAACTAAACTGCTTCAGCTCAGAAAATTCTTTCCCAGATTAACCTAAATATCTGAAATCCATCATACTGCTTGGCAAACCCTCTAGTCCACTGTATAGTTATTTCTGCAATTTGCAAACAGAAATGTTGACTTTCGCTTTTCAACTGGGCACATGCTCGTTATTTCTTTACTGCGGCCGTATCTTATTTCTGGATGCCGATGCTATCTTATTTCTGGATGCCGCTGCCATCACGAAACAAAACACTGCGAACGCCATTCACAGACTCAGAATCTCGTGCACCGCGCTGCCTGCTCCGGACCGTGGATGGATCTCGGACTAACGGGATGTGGCAACAAAGCACGCCCTGTCCCTAGTGGCGCGCCGGCCGCGGGAGAGGCCACTGCACCGACAGCGGCGATGCCGTCGGAGAGACAAGGCGCGCCCACGCGGGACCCGCCACTCCTAAGGCTCCTTCCCACCGCGCGGCTCTAGGAACCGTAGGAAACCGCAGGGATGCAGGATGGGGGAGCGAGGGCTGGAGAGATCGTCGTGCGGTCCCACCAACGACACAGTAGCAGTCGGAGCCCGCCGTGACCAAGTCCTGCGAAGGCGAAAAGGGGCCGCACAAATGATTGCAGCGAGTGCCTCAGAGTACAGACCTCTCGGCTTCCCGTCCCCGCCCCTCGGGGTCCGTCGGGCCCCACACCCAGAGCCGCGGTTCTTGCTGAAAGGCCCGCATACCTCCCCCTCCCTCGTCCTCCGTGTGCGCACCCTCCCTGGCTGGGCCCGCCCCTGCCCCTGCCCCACGCAGGCGCACGCCAGGCCCCTCAAATCCCCCCACTGCAGGCTGGGCCCGGGTGGGGGCGGGGCGACCCTCGGAAGGGGCGTGGCCGTCGGCCTAGACGCGCGCACGCGCTCTCGCACCTTACGGCTACGTGTCGGACCACGTGACGCCCACCACGAAAGTCCCCTGTGAAGCAACAGGACGTTAAAAAAATATATATATGTATATTTTTTTTTGGCAGGGAGGGCGATGAGAGCTTTTTAAAGAACTATAGTAACGAGAAGGGAGAATGGGGCCGGGCCTCAGCTAGAGCAGTCCTGGCGCTCTGTGGCGCGTCGGGCTGGGAGTCCCCGTCACCTACTGCCACAGCCCGCCAGCCCCCGCCCCCGTCGACAGCACCGCCACCAGGCGCCCCACACCGGCCCCTCCCTCCGCTCTCGTCCGCTCCGGGGTGGCGACCCCGGCCCGGCACCCCGGCCCAGCTCGCTGCGCACCGCCGGGTTGCAGCACCCACCCTGCGGGAGGGAGAGGCACGGCCGCGGCCCGGGGCGGGGGGCGGAGCGTGCCGCCCGCCCCGCTAACGGCCGCCCTGCGCGGCCCCGCCCGCCGCCCGCCCCCGGCCCTCCCCGCCCGCCGCCCCTCCCCCGCCGCCGCCGCTGGCAGCGCCGCCTGAACTGAGGCGAACTCCGCCGCCAAGTGAGTGAGGAGGAGGAGGCGGCGGCGAGGAGGAGGAGGAAGAGGAGGAGCGGAGTCAGAGCGCGGCGGCGGCGGCGGCAGCGGCAGAGGCAGAGGCGGCCGCGGCAGGGACCAGCCCAGAGAGACCCCGAGCCCGCGGCGCAGGCGGCGGCGGCTGAGCGGGCGCGACCAGCGGAGAGAGCGATCGAGCGAGAGGCGGTTCGGCTCCTCCTCGTCCGGCGCCCAGCGGCCCGCGCTCGCACTCGGCCCGCGGAGACCCGCCTCCCCTGCCGGCCTCGAGAGGGACGCGCCGAGCCGGCGGCCGCGGAGCCGCGGCGGAAAGTGCCTGCGGGGGCGGGGAGGGCGCGCGGTCCGGCCGCCCGGCGCGGGAGCGAAGCGGAGCGGGACGCCGAGTCCCGAGCGGCCGGCAGCCGGGGCTCCCCGCCCCTCCCTCCCTCTCCGGCGGCGGCGGCGGCGGCGGCGGGCGGAGTGAGCTGCGGAGCCTGGAATATGGTCGGGGAAATGGAAACGAAGGAGAAGCCGAAGCCCACCCCAGATTACCTGATGCAGCTGATGAACGACAAGAAGCTCATGAGCAGCCTGCCCAACTTCTGCGGGATCTTCAACCACCTAGAGCGGCTGCTGGACGAAGGTGAGTCGCCGCTCCGGCCCCCGCGGCCCGCTCCCCGCTCCCGGGACCCGACGCCCGCCGGCGCGCGGGGAGGGCGCGGAGGTCGCGGTCGGCGGGGACCGAGAGGCTGGGGCGGGGCACAGGGAGAGGGCGCGGAGACGGCTTCGCGGGGCTGGCGAGCGGGAGGGACGCGCCCCGGACCCCGGACCCGGGACCCCGCACCTCGCGCAGCCCCGGCGGGTGAGCTGGCGAGGCTGCAGGGTGAGCTCCGCGGGCCTCCCGGGAGGAGCCCGGCCCGCGCCCCGGGCGCCTGAAGGACACCGGCGCGGGCCGCTCTCGGGGGTCTCTCCCGGGAAGGCGGGAGCCCCCCCGCGCGGGTCCGGGGGGCTGTGTTTTGTGGGACTTTGTGGATACACTCGAGGGGAGCCGCGTGCGGCTGGCTCACTTGGAGGAATTCCGCCGGAGAGCGAAAGTAACGCGGCTGTAGCCGAAGGCGAGCACAAAATGACAGCGGGAAGCACTTTGTGTCCTTTTGTTTGGGGAAGCGAGAACTGTTTGGGAGTCCAACTTCCCGGGGGGAGGGCGGGGGGCGAGCACGAAATACCGCGAGGCCGCCGCCGCGCGCAGCCCGAGTTTCTGGGAACTTCGGCGGAGGGCCGCCCGGACGCCGCCGCCCCGAGAGGGCGACCCGGGGGCCCGGCGCTCGGCCCAGCGGCCTCCCCGGTGCACAGCTGTGGGCGCGCGGCGCGCAGAGGTCGGCCGGCCCGCCCGCCGTTCCGCCGAGTCCCGGGGCTGCGACGCCCTGGGCGCCGCGGGGACCGGAGGGCCGGCCCGAGTCCGCTTTGCACACGGACGGGCCTGGGTTCTTTTCTGGCCGGCGGCTGAGGAGCACTGTTCCAATAAAGCGGAAAAGTGTGTTTTTTGGAGAGCAACAGTACACTTTAGATTTTTCACAAGAATTTGGACAGAACTGGGGAAGAGAAACCCGAAGCTTAAGAGAGTTGGAACGTCACCGAAGAACAAAAGACCGGAAACGTTTCTGTGGCGAAAGATGGCCCAAGAAGACTCCCAGGAGCCTTGTTGTCAGGAAAGTCACAGAAACAGTTTCCAAAGTGCTGAGCCGGCGTTGCCGAGCTCTGGTCCCTGCCTGCGGGGTGGACCGCAGCCGCGACCGCCCCGGAACGGGCTCCGGCTGCTGGGGCGGCCCGCCCGCCCGCTGCGCCTGGCTGCGCCCGGCGGCGCCGAGCTGCCCCTTTAAGGGGGTTCTGCCTCTCCTGTTTGTGTTGGCCTTTGAAAGATTGTGGAGGCAGAAAACTTTCTGGAATGTCAAAAGAAAAAAAACGCTGGAACTCTTGAGTCGGGCATTTCTAAATGTGAGCGCTAAGGGGCGCCAGTTATTGTTTTTAAAATAGAAACGTTGGGAGCAAAATGTGTTACGTACTAAGAGCCTCACTTGTATTAAATTTAGTTGGAACTTAAATCATAGAGCATTTCATCTGTCATTTCGTGTCCATACATGTATTTACAAGCATTGATAGTACTTTTAAAAATTGGGACAATTTTATCACATTTGAGAAAGATGCTATTATTTTCTACTGGGCATATTTCGGTGAAGAGTTTTAGTAGTAATAAAATTTCTGTTTTTTTTTTTCCCTTTAAGAACAGCTGTTTAGAAGGAATCCTTTATAGACGTTAAAATGAAAATAGGTTATGACGTATTTAGGATTAGAGTTAAATTGCATTATTTGAATTAAAACGTTGAATTCAGTCAAATGGCATAAGATAAAAACAAGTTTGAAAATATTTTCATCTTATGCATATTATTTTTAAAAAGTAAATTTTTCTTATTAGCTCTCTAATGCTCTTATATTATGTTGGTTTAAAACCTCTAAATGATAATTCAGCATTGGTTCTCCGTTAGAAAGTTTTTAACCTTTAGCTTTGATCATTTAATTTTCGGAATCTAGAATTCCAGTATGTGATTATCTCTAACGAACATTGGTTTATTTCTCTGGTTTAAATGCAGGGGGAAAGCTAGTTGAGGGTGATACATTCTGAATAGTAGTGTGTATATATTCACTGTAATGTTTTTTTTTCCGTTGGTCTTGGTCTGTCCTGTGTTAGCCTTTCCAGCTCCCCAGCATCAAGAGGGCTTCTGTGTGGATCTTGAAAATGGACAGCATAGAATGACTAGGAAGTTCGATACTTCTTTTAATCAGTACAAACAGGCAGGAAAAGGGGCTGTTCCTTCGTGTGGGATAAGCTGCTTCCTGTAATTGTTAGCCTTATTATAAACTTAATTTGACTGAAGAAAAAAAATTGGTTTCTGAAGTACATCATTTTGTTTTTCCGTGCCAGATTATTTAATTCTGAACTTTGGCAAGTTGTGCCCTGCCCCTTTGTGGCTTGTCATTGTCCAAAACAAATTAATCATGACTTACGAGGTTGGGAATTACATTTTCCTTTGTCCATAGGATTTACTGAAAAATTCTTTTTATATTTAGATAAAACTGCACATTTTAGTGATTATTTTAATCAAGTTAAGATACTGTACTTAGTTACAGTAGATGTATTTATTGATAACTGAATATTTAACCAAATGATGGTTAGTTATGGTTTAGTCATGGTAACCAAAATTTCTGTTTACAGAAATTGAGTGTATCGTATTTTTGAAGTTCTGCTTTAGAATATTTTTCAAAAGTTAGTTTAAAAATTTTTCCTTGTCAGTTTGAGAATTTTTATTTGGCTGGGTACAAATTTGAGATTTAGCTGTAGTAGATTTTCTTAATCTATAATACCTGAATGCTTTAGATGAGTATTTCAATTCCATTTCAGGTTAACCTTTAGCTTACATTTTGACTATGGACTGACCGTCTTTTGTGGGGGGAGTAGAGGGAGGTGGGATGGTTCTTAGACTTTCCTCCCACCCACTGTCAACCTGGTGGTTTTTAAAGTTGTTAGTACGTTCAGGATTGGAACAGTCGATATAGTGGATGTAAATTCTGTGGATAATTCCAATATTTAAGAATCTTTCATTGTAGAAAGAGGTGATTGTAGATAAAACCGAAGTCTTACAGTCTTAAACTGCTCTCTTTAGGCAGAAGTTTTCAATTGAACTTTGGAATCATGCATAGGAAAGAGTAGTTAGTTATAAGGTTTTTTTAAAAAAACCTTTGTTATGAAAGGGAAACCTAAGGAACAACAGTACTTGAATGAAAACTGTTTTATGAAGTATTGCAATTTAGAATAGAGAATAATTTTATTGAAAAATACAATCAATTTGACTTAAAAATCCAAAATAAAGGAAAATGGAAAGGTAGAGATTTTAAAATCAGATTTTGAGTTTTTATTTTTTAGGCAGAGGGGGGAGGCTAAAACTGATGATAGTGAAAATTAACAGACACATACTATGGTTTATGAAGAAGGCCAGCCTAAATCTTTTTATTGTGAATATCTGAAAAATTAGTGTGTGGTGTAGAAAAAGTGAACAAATATGTTATATTAGATTCTGCATTACTGGTTTGAAAAATGCATTTTAATTTTCTCCTGGCCATTTTTTTTGGTGGGAGATGATATATTTTCTTTTTGACCTCAACTTACTCTGCTGTTCCTTAAAAATGAGGGAAAATATTTTAAATTAAAACCTTTGCTAGTTAACATTTTTCCACGTTGATGTTTATTTCCTCTTATTGTGCATTCATTTCATTGTTAACTGTATTCTAATACTTCAGTTTTCTAATACTTCAAAATTATTTTTTTGAGAAATCTTGCTTGTCTGCAATTACCGGGAGTTTGAAAATTAAGTGGCTATTTGTTAGTATTGAGAGGCTTCTCACTATATACATTTATTACAATTTTAGGGTTTTCTTTCCTGAGAAAGACTGTTGACAGTAATCGATATCTGTGATAAATAGCTTTTACCTAAAGCAATTAATCTGGTTTTTTTTTTTAATGTGTTTTTTTGGAGCAAAGATTTTGCATTTATGCACAACCCTTTGAGCTAGTAGTAAGAAGGAAGCCAGTGTTTACAATGGGTTGTTCTTTCCATTATCCTTGTCACTCCTCACCCAGGAGGGGTCCCAGCTGTATAAGGTAATAATGGATATAGTCTGGATCTTAGGTCATTTACTCAACATTCGTTCTGGGCTTTTGAAGCTTAATTCCCCCACAGTCAGCATGTGTATTTAGATACTATGAGGTAGAAGGTGACTCCTTTTTCTTCACTTTATCCAATTTGTATGTTTTGCAGTAAAAGCTGTGCTCCCAAAGATGTAATGTAATTGAGTTAATAGAGATAGGTCTCTTTGCTAATAGCATTTGCTAGTGTGTTTGGCATGAGCACCTTTTCTTAAACGGCTTTGAGAATATCAGTGAAAACAAGGTACCTTGACTTTTTAAATGTTTTTTTTTTTTCCAATATATTTCTGTTACTAGCTGTTCATGAAGTCACTGTCCTGGAGCTGATTGAAGTGCACCCTTTTTCCATAAGAACAGAAGGTTTTGGTTTGCTTTGTAAGGGAAATAGTTTTCTGCAACAGAAGATCCAAGGGGGCTAACCCCCACCCCTCTGTTTGACCTTGTCTTGATGGGGCATGATTCAGATACTCCTTTTCTTTGAGGCCAGTTTACTTAGATATGTAAGGTTTTTGTTTTGCTTTGTATTTTGACTTTTTTGTTTGCTTAAAAGAATTATATCAGTTTGATCATAGGGGCAGCTTTTTATACTCTGACTGGAATGGAACTACATTTTAACATACTTCAAAAATTCCATGTAGTTAATACAATTCCTTTGACTTATGGTGTACTTACAGGAAAACTTTACTTTCTCTGTTGGAGATGGGAAATGCTATGTTTTATTTGTTGATAACTTAAAATACAGCCCACTGAGCAATTTTCTGCTGTTTGTGTGGTAGCGATGTGAAGATGCCCAGCGTCTGTTTTAGGGCCAATGGATGAGGGTGGTGCGTGGGCCTATGTCATGATGTCATAGATGGAATTACGTACCAATCTTTTATTTACAT